AAATTAGTTTCCTCTTTCCGCTTTTTATTTCGACTTCACCATCATCCCCATTCAAATTCAGATTGAGCCTTCTTTTCTCATTTCATTGCTCATTTCATTGCTCAATTTTTCCCTCTTTTTCGTTCTTATCCTTTAAATTATTGAAATTATTTGATGCGACACTTCTCAAATCATCCCCTTCAACATCTGCGTTTCAAAATTCATTTTAATCTTACTTTAAAAGTCAATGAATCACGTACTTTGTGTTTTGACAAACAAACCCTTTCTGGCATCCTATTTCAGATTTTCTTTAACCGAAACGATCTTGAAATAGTATACTAAAAAGGATACGATCGGTAGCACAAAATACGCCTTTTCCCTTTAACAAATAACAACAACTTCTAAGCTTTTTCGTGAGTTTCACGTGATTTTTTTAGACGCTTAATTGGAAAAGTCAATTACGAATTGAGTTCTTCAGAAAAAAACTCAAAGATCTTATTCTTTGGTTCGGTTTTTCAAAATTTTTGAACATTTCATTAGCGCGCTCACGTGTCAAAAACAGACCAAACTTTTGAAGTCTTTTTCTTTTGATCAGCTGTTTATTTGATTAAATATTAGGTAAATGCATAAGAAATGCGGATTTCAAAACATTTTCATGAATTTCCAACGATAGAACCAACGATAAACCTGATATCGATGAATATAAACTATTTGAAAGTTGTAAATCTCCTCTACGAACTAGACTAAAACGTGTTTCAATTGATCGAAGCATTGAAGAAATTTCGAGGCCGAAATGAGAGTGATCAAAACAAGGAATCGAGTCACTTTAGGGACAAGTTTAGTGTGGCCAAAATCGAGTTAGCTTCCCAAAATTGAAGATTTAAAGAAAAAAAGGATAATTTCAGTCTTTTGCAGTTAAATAATCGAGTTACTATAAGATTTATTCAATCTATTAAGTACATGCATAAGAAATGCGAATTTCAACACATTTTCATAAATTTCCAACGATAGAAACCTGATATCGATGAATGTTATAATATATATATATTGTTAACTATTTGAAAGTTGCACATTTCCTCTAAAAAATAGGCTAAAACGTGTTTCAATTGATCGAAGCATAGATTACAGTCTATATCGGACGTCCGATTTAGATTCAATCTAAATCTTATATAGATTGAACAATAATATAAACATGTTTAATATATGTTCTTAAGCATTTTCTGTAGTTTTCTGCATTTTTCAAAGGTCTCTTACTGTCTTTTTCTGTTTTACTGTCTTTTTCTGAAAAGAAAACTCAACTATGAAATAATCAATAAAAGACCTTTGAAAATGCAGAACACTACAGAAAACGCTTAAGAACATATATTAAACATGTTTATATTATTGTTCAATCTATATAAGATTTAGATTGAATCTAAATCGGACGGAAATCTAAATCGAACACAACATATATATTATAACATTCATCGATATCAGGTTTCTATCGTTGGAAATTTATGAAAATGTGTTGAAATTCGCATTTCTTATGCATGTACTTAATAGATTGAATAAATCTTATAGTAACTCGATTATTTAACTGCAAAAGACTGAAATTATCCTTTTTTCTTTAAATCTTCAATTTTGGGAAGCTAACTCGATTTTGGCCACACTAAACTTGTCCCTAAAGTGACTCGATTCCTTGTTTTGATCACTCTCATTTCGGCCTCGAAATTTCTTCAATGCTTCGATCAATTGAAACACGTTTTAGTCTAGTTCGTAGAGGAGATTTACAACTTTCAAATAGTTTATATTCATCGATATCAGGTTCTATCGTTGGTTCTATCGTTGGAAATTCATGAAAATGTTTTGAAATCCGCATTTCTTATGCATTTACCTAATATTTGAAATATTATTGTGAAAGTTCAATCCGATTAAACATTAAATCTTTCAACTACCATACTATTATGTTTTTTTTTGTAGCTATTTACCCATTTTTACCCTAATTTGTTTACTAACTTTTCCCCCAAGGGAAATTTTTCGACAAAAGAAGCAAACAAATGAAGAAATTGTTTAGTTGTTGCTTATGGAGTTAGTTGTTAAAACTGATTTCAGTTCCACTTTTTGTCAATATTTACTATTAAATTTGTTAAAATTTTTAAACATTTCTTTCTTTACTCGTTTCTCGAATCTTAAAAAAACAATACATTTATTAAAAACCAATAATGTGATAAAAACAAAGGATACATAATAAGACATAAAGGTCTAAACACATAATTTTATGGCATTGCAGCCGTCGCTACCCCTATTGCCCCTATTAACCAAATGTTGTAAAAGAAAAAAATCCCATTTTGTGGGAAAAAGAAACATTTTTATCTTGCCAGCGTGATTGAACCCGGCCTTCCGCTATCGGCCTTCCGCTTTAGGATAGGTTAGGAGACAAGACTCCTAACCGGTTAGGGGACAAGACTCCTAACCGGTTAGGGGACAAGACTCCTAACCGGTTAGGAGACAAGACTCCTAACCCGTCCACCATCTGCTCTTCTACCAATAATCACTGTTTCTTTTGATTTATTTTATTTATTTAACTATTTACTTACTATTTTTTTCTCTCAAAAAAAGTCTCTTTTTTAAAATGGTCATGAAGTTAGTGTACCGAGATGCGATCATCGACCTACACAAGCGTGACGTTCTGGCGATTGAGACCTCTAAGTGATTGATGATACGCAAACAACTTGTTTACAACGCGATCGAATGCTTTCAAGAGTTGGGAACAAATTCTGAATGTCCCAGACGTGGTGGTAAAGCGATCGTTGTCACCAAGGCTAATATCAAGGAAGGTTCGGGATCAGCTACGCTTGAAAGCCACTGACGGAAAGACACATCTGTTTTCTTGTTTCACAAGGAATCAAAGTCAATGTGACCAATTATTTGGATATGCTTAATCAAGAAATACATCCATGGGCTAAAAAGTATTTTGGAAACAGGACTTGGTGCTTTCAACAGGATGGGGCACCCGCACACAAAGCTAGCATCGTTCAAGAGTGGTTCAAGCATCTTTTCCTCCGATTTTATCGATATATCGACGCAAAAAACTTGTTTACAACGCGATCAAACGCTTTAAACCATCAGTGTTTCTCATAATCAGTGTTTCTCAATGATAATAGAAAGATTAAGTACGCCAGAAAGGGTGTGTTTCCAATTCAAACAAGCATTTTGCCATAAAGGATGCGTTTCCAATTTCAGCAACTACACAAAACGCTTCTTAAGCCTTGAGATTCAGAAAAAAACAACAACAACAACATAAACTAGTTTATAGTTTAAATGAACTCAAGAAAAAGAAGACATTTATCACATTCGAAAGTTTCAGAAGTCTAACTGAATCGACAAGTGGACACTATTTATCTTCCCCTTTTTCGCTTCTCGTTTTTCTCGTTTTTCTCATTTTTTCTCATTTTTCTCTTTTTCCTCCTTCAAAAAGCTTTAAAAACATTTTCATTAAAAATTTTCTTCTTAAAAAAAGTGATTTTTGAAATTTGAAATTTTCTTCTCACTAACCGTAAGACGATTACCAAAACGAGTCAAATCGCTTTTTCTCTCAAGAAATTTTCAAACTATTATCCCCCAAAAATCCTTTTAAAACCCTTTTTTTTTTTTTTTTTTGCGAAATTTCTAATTTAATCATACTAGTTTTTCTCGAAAATTTGAAGAAAAGGCAGAAAACCCTTTTCTTCACCGGATACATTTTGCTAATTGCGGATGTTTTCCACGATTTCTTTCTCATTTCTCCAATTTTGTATGGATTTGTAGAAAAATTTCAAAGTCAATACGTAATTTTTCTATTTTAAAATCACTTTTTCTTTTGACATAAAACAAACTTTCTGCTTCAATTAACTGAAAATAGAGAGGAAAAATGCCGTATTTCTTCGAATAGAAGACCGGGTAAAGAGTATGATCGCGTACTCCTGCGTAGCAGCCCTTTTTAAAATTTCTTTTCTGCATAAAAGCTTTCAATCAAGTGCTATCGGGCTGGAAAATGACTCAAAAATACCACATGAGCTAACAGATTTTTGAGTCATTTTCCAGCCCTATAGCACTTCATTGAAAGCTTTTATGCAGAAAAGAAATTTTAAAAAGGGCTGCTACGCAGGAGTACGCGATCATACTCTTTACCCGGTCTTCTATTCGAAGAAATACGATAGTACTTTTTTGATGATTATTAAGTTTAAATCTTTGCTTTCTTTTTGTATTCACAAATTTGTTTTTAATTGATGTTTTGGCTTGATTTTCAATGATTTTTAATGACTTTTAAATGACTTTTAATGACTTTTAATGGTTTTTTAATGACGTTTTAATGACTTTTAATGGGTTTTTAATGATTTTTTAATGACTTTTAATGATTTTTAATGATTTCTAAATGATTTTTAATGTCTTTTAATGACTTTTAAATGATTTTTAATGATTTTTAAGGATTTTCAATGATTTCTAAATGATTTTTAATGTCTTTTAATGACTTTTAATGGTTTTTAAGGATTTTCAATAATTTTTAAGATGTAATAGGCTCAAGAGGACCCGAGGGAGGAAAAAGAATACAATTGAAATGTCTCCCCAACCAAATCAGCCTTAGAAATCAGATCAAAAAGATCTCATTAGGTTTTTTTGTTCAATGGAAACCAAAAGCTCAACATTTTTAGATACTTTTGAACTTTTGTAATACGAACACTAGTCAAAAATAGAGCCAGCTTTGCCATTCCTCTTTCCTTTTGAATCATTTCCAATCTCATTCTCATCACTTGATCTTCTAAATCTTTTATTTTATATTTTTATATCAAAGATTTATTGTCATTCTCCGTAACAGCTTGGAAGCTTGGTTCTTTGATTATTTTATGACAATAAAATATAACTGTTTTTTCTCTAAATCGACTTTTTACTACTTTCTCCAGTCATTCAGTGAATTCTTCTTTCTCGAAATTTTCTTTATAACTTTTATTTCTTATAAGTTTTATTTCCTATAACTTCTATTTCTTATAACTTTTTTTAGAATAATGTTCAATCAATTATCCCTATTATGTGCTGCGTTGATGAACCTATTTTGTGTGTGTGGAATTGTGGGAAATGGACTCTCGCTCTACATTTATTCAAGAAAAGCTTTCAGAAAAAGGTAAAAAAAATTAAAACAATTAACATTTGATCTTATTTTCATTCTATTCTCTAAATCTTATTTTCAACTAATTGCCAACTTTCAGATCAATAAACGTTTTATTGTTGGCGTTGGCGGGATCGGATTTTTTCGTTTGTGTGCTAGCGATTCCGGTGTTTTCGATTAGTCAAATGCAGGAGCTCGTCCCTGGTAGAGATTCTTTATCTTCAAATCATCTTTTCTTTTCAGGTTGTCAAGTTGTCATCGGCACAGTGATGCTTTATTTCTATCCAGTGACGCTCATGTTTCAGGTGAGAGAAAAAAACAAACAAAGAAAACAAAAAGAATGCGTGAAAAAGTTTATTAAAAGGGAATATCAAATGGGGAATGTCTAATAAGGGTTCATGAAAACATAAAGCACAAGCTAGTGAGATGGAGGAAGAGTTGAAACTAGGGGTGATCAAAAACTCGTGTGCCGCTGGGACTCAAACCCACCACCTTTCGCTTATCGGACAAATGTGCTCCACAGTTTCAGTTGCTCCAGAAGGAGTTAACTGAAGGATTATCCGGAGCTTTAAAATAAGAAAAGGCATTCGAGGCAAGATTTCCAAAACTGGAAATCCAGAAGTGATTTGAAAAGCTTAAAGGCCTGGCTGGCCTGGGCTGGCTGCCCTGGCCTGGCAAATTTCTAAAGGCAAATTTTGAGCTGAAGAATTCATATTTTGCCTATCCTTGTGCTATAGTAGTTATGACTAAATATTGTCTAAATATTGATTTAAATATTGATCTAAAGATTGATCTAAAGATTGCTTACCTTTACAAGTTTTGACATAAAGCTTTTAATTGCCTAGATATTGCCTTAAATATCAAATAGTATCACTGAACAATCTCTTATTTTTAAATTCTTATTTATAAATGATAAGATCGTTAATGATATCCGAAAAAATCATTTGAATTTTAAAAAGCTTTATAAAGGATTATTCGAAAAGTTTTTGTCTTTTAGCGCTTTAAAATAAGAAAAGGGAAACTTTCTAAACATTTAGGCGATGTCCGTTTGGATGTTGGTAACAATTACAATCGATCGATACCTGGCCGTTTGTCATCCATTTATCGTTCAAACGTATTGCACTCGGTAATTAAACCTCAGAATAAAAACGATTCTTTATTTCGTCATTTCTTCATTAAAAGAAAAGAATCTAAAGATTTTCTATTTATAAAAAGAAGAAGAAAAAGAAGATGACAAAAGAAGAGTAGAAAAAAGAAAAAATTGTCCTGAATTGGGCTTTGCTTTGTGGTTTAGAGTGGATAAAGTTGAGAGTGAATGAAGGGAAAAACAAGGAAATATCATAAATAGCATAAATATCATAAAATTAGATATATAAATTTAAATATATTTAAAATGAGTTAAAAATGACAAAAATTTAGAACCCGAGCCCTTTTCGCGGTTGGATGGATCATTATCTTTTCTTTCCTCTACAATGTTTGCCGATTTTGGGAGTACAAATTGTTGGGTGAGCGGGGGTTTAAAGCTTGTCCATTGTACGGCTTGTCCATTGTACAGCTTGTCCTTTGTACAGGTTGTCCTTTGTACAGCTTGTCCTTTGTACACTACTGTATTAATGCTAATGAAAATTTTCATACTATAGTAATCATAAAATCTTGAAAATTTCTAGATTGTGACTCGAGTCAAAACCGGATGCGCGTTGAAGAGATTCTCGAGCCGATGCTCAGATCGAATGAGAATTATTTGTTGTGGTGAGTGTTTTTTTTGGATATTACATTTATTAATACTATCATCTAAATATTCATTTATTTATATTATAAACTAAAAGATTTCTTGTTCAGGTATCAAACAATCATCACCCTTGTCTCACAGTTTATGCTGCCTTTAGCTGTGCTTTGTGTTTTAAATTTTCAGGTAAACATTTGATGACAATGATTTTGAACATTTGATGACAATGATTTTGAACATTTGACGACAATGAAACAATGATGACAATGAAAAAAACATTGTGCAGTGTGTGAGAGGGTACCGATGGATATTAGATTATTAGATATTTATTCCGAATCTAACACAATACTAATCTAGCGAGAAAATACAATAAAATAGAATCAATCGTTGGTTCTGTGTTTCATAGCAATACGAAAAAGCAATACGAAGAGACAATACAAAGTGGGCTCCGTCCCTTTTATCATAAAAACGATCTTTTAGAGGCGGGACAAGAGAATCAGATACCGTATTCTCTCTAATAGTAGTGCGCATTACTATTTTTTCAACCCCCTCCTGGACCGCAATACTATTTGAGAGTGCACTACTATTAAAGAGTTTTATCATTTACCAAAGTAAGACAGATATAAGATTTGTTCCAAAAATTCTTTCAATTCTTTCACGTACTCCTTTGGCTTCTTTTGACATACAGTTGTGGGCCGGCGAGTTGACAATTTATGTCTTGACAAACAAAAAAAAAGATGTTTTTGCACTTTGCACAACAATTTTAGATCTTTTGCTAACTTTTTCATGTGAAGAATAGCTAATAAATGAATAAAAAAAAAGCTCACTTTTGCTTGCTTGAACACCTTTAGAATGTTACATAAACATAAAATCAAAAAGGTCAAGAAGTCAAAAAGGTTTAGATGAAAAAGAAGCACCAGAAATTCAAATTTTCAAGGGTGCACTACTATTTTTTTAACCCCCTCTCGGACCGCAATACTATTAGAGAGTGCACTACTATTAAAGAGTGCACTACTATCAGAGAGAATACGGTATTCAAATCAAAAAATTAAATAAGATTCTACAGAAAAGAGCCACTTTTCTGCACAAACATTATGAATTTCATAGAACAATTTGATCAACAATAAATCTAAATTTTAGCAATAGGTTCTCTAAAAAAAAAACAAATAAAAATTTGACAAAAGGAATGAACAAATATAAAAAAAGATAAAAACAGATATTTTAAAAATTATGGTTATTCACTGTTTAGAATTAGGAAAGACAGCTATATTCAAAATAAAGGAGAAAGTGTAGCAGAAGTAGCTTTGGCCTAAACAAGAACTCTAGGTAGCCAGAACAATCCTAGCCGCTGGTGAACAACGGAGAGCACTTGTGGCGAGTGAGAGAAGGGAACACTCGACAGCGAAAATGATGCTATTCGTTGTCATTGGTGAGTAATTCTTAACAACTTATTCTTCAAAAACAATCAATTTCAGTGTTTATCTTCTGCTACACTTTCTCCTTTATTTTGAATGTAGCTGAAACGGTGAACCCAACGCTTTTCCTTGGCCCACTCGGCTTTCTGCTCAATGATATCAACAATATTCTCATTGTGTTCAACTCATCAACGAGTTTTGTCTTTTATGTCACTTATTCAACAAGGTTTGTTTATAAGGAAAGACTTTTTTTATACTTTTTATCAACTACATGATAGTTTTGTCATTTCAAAAGCTAGAAATCTAAAGTTTTATCATTTCAAAAGCTAAAAATCTAAAGTTTTGTCATTTCAAAACCTAAAAACCCAAAGTTTTGTAGTATTTCCCTTTAAATCTATAAATCTAGAAAGTAAGGTAACAAAACTTTTGACGTATTTTGTAAAAGACGTACTTTATATAGAATTTATAGAACTTTATAGAATTTATAAGACTTTATAAGCTATTGATCACTTCTAAAATTTCATTTTAGATATCGTGCTCAACTTCGAAAGATTTGTGTGATACGTTTATTCATGGAAAATCTTCTGGATTATAAGGTTGATCGACACATCCATCATCGATCACCAAGTGCCGAATTCTCGGAATACTCAAAGAAAACGTTGAACTCATGTGATCAAGGTTTGACTTTAACTTGAAATTTTTACAAAGATTTTTCTTTTTAAACTTAAACATTGATCATTTTTCTTTTTACAGGCTGCAAAAAGCCATTGGTTATTCAAAATCCGGGAATTCTTCGTAAAGAAAACGACTCGTATCAAACGAAATGGAATACTCGTGTCACTTTTGATAACTTTTAAATAGCAAATTATTTTCTTTTTTCTTTATTTCATTACGGGTTTTATTGTGATTTCTCATTTTTTAAAATAACGGGTTATAAATAAAAATTGAACTCTACACAAAGCTAAATTAAAAATCTAAATTAAAAAAGCTAAATTAAAAAACTAAAATTTCCCATTTCCAGAAAGCTTTTCTTAATGTTAATGACATCATTTTCTTTTTAAAATAAGAATTTTCAATTTTTCTTTTCTTTAATGAAGAAAATCAAGAGAAAGATGAGTTTTGAAAAAAAGTTTTTAAAGAAAAATCATTTCTCATCCAATTGAACAAAAAGAAGATCGAAAAAAGGAAAAAAGGTGATGCTTTGTATTTGGTGGAACAGTAAAGGTCTCGTGTATTTTGAGGTACTGGATTCGGGCCAATGAGTCACGGCGGATCTCTACAAAGCCCAATTGAGCCGCGTCGACCAGGCGTTGCGTCGTCAAGGCATAAACACGGCGACTACAAAAATTCCTCCACGACAACGCTCGACCGCACACCGCGAAGATCACTCAGCAGAAAATCGAGGAATTTGGCTGGGAAGTTCTGCCTCATCCGCCATATAGCCCGGACTTGGCCCCATCCGCCATATAGCTAGGATTTGGCCCCATCCGACTACCACTTCTTTCGGTCGATGCAGCACTCTTTAGCAGCAAAAAAAAAATTCAAAAACCGCGAAGAAGTTGAAATCTGGGTGTCCAACTTCTTCGAGTCGCAGTTGCCCGATTTCTTCGAAAAGGACATCGCTTCTCTGCGTGGAAGATGGCAAAGAGTCATTGATAATGATAGCGAATTTCTTTTGGATTGAGGTTCTGTATTAGGATTTTTATAATAAATTTTGTCTATGATTCCAAAGGACTTTTCGTCTGCATTTCCCATTTCCAGAAAGCTTTTCTTAATGTTAATGACATCATTTTCTTTTTAAAATAAGAATTTTCAATTTTTCTTTTCTTTAATGAAGAAAATCAAGAGAAAGATGAGTAATGTTTTGAAAGAAAAATCATTTCCCATCCAATTGAACAAAAAGGAGATCGATCTGTGAAAGAGAAAGATTACACGAGAGTAGACTGCGTTGAGTCACACAATTTGTTTTAAGATACACATAAAAGTTGCTACATTGAATCTATCTACTTTAAAAGTTGATCTTTTTCATGTACTTTCACAAGTGCACTTTCAAAAAACGTAGCTATTCCAAGTGTCTGTTTGATTTCAAAACATACACATTATACAAAGCAAGTTTCTCTCCGAATCCAACAAAATCCCTCAATTTTGACAATTTTGACTCTTCCAAGTATCCACCAAGTTCCATTGATTCGAAAAGTCAAAGAAAAACATCTTCAAAACCTTTTTGTTGTTTAAAATCATGTGATTTCCCTGTTCTTTTTACAATCTCTTGCCAAATCGCTTAAAGAATACTAAAAAATTGATGGTAAAAGAAAGATACAAATTCCTAGGTGAAAATCGTTTTGAATTTGGGATAAAAGTGAAGGTCGAGATGGGGAAAATATCAAAGAGTGGAGGGATAAAAAAGAGTTTCTCAAAAAAAAACAGGAAAAATTGGAGAGAAAATCGAGAGTTCTTTTCTCTCTTCTCGAACCGATCAACGCATCTTTTTCTTCCTATTTGCGATTCTCTTCAATCCATGAAAGGGCAATTTGATTAGATTGATTTTAATTTGAAATCTTTTTCAATCTTCTTTCTATCACATTTTACTTTCTTATTCAAATTTGCCATTTGTCAAGTATTTAATGAGTTTTTACCCTTAGTCAGTTAATTTTTTTGAATAATTTTAATCGTTATTGAATCTATTATTGAAATTATTGAAAATTTATTGAAAATTATTGAATCTATTCAGTGATAGACGTCCGGTTTTGAATCGGACTTCTGTTTTTGATCAACTTATCTTTCAACAATTGGGGTAGGCTAGTTTCCGCAACAGGGTCGTTTGCGCAACTCGCCATAAATTTCTTCTAAGTGAGCCAATCTTTATGCTTTTGGTGTCATTTTGTAGATCTCAACAAGTGCAACAAAATGAAACCAAAAGCATAAAGATTGGTCGACTTAGAAGAAAGCTATGACGAGTTGCGCAAACGACTCAGTTGCGCAAATGACCCTGTTGCGCAAAAAAATTTGCGGAAACTAGCCTACCCCCAACAATTTTCAAACTTTACTACTAAATCCTTAAAACTAAAACATTTGTATTTTTCTTTTAATCATTAAGCATCAAGCTTTAAAATTTATTCGTAAGATCGAAAATGTAAATGATTGAAAAGAAATATAACAAACATAACTTTAGAAAACTTAAAGAGAAAAAGAATAGAAATGATCGGATATTGATATTGATGCGGATATTGATCCGCAAATTAGCTAGCATTTAAATTATGAATGGAAATAGAAATTATATTTGCTAACTCTCAAAAAAACAAATCATTACAAAAGAAAACAAAAAGCGGACATAGAAAACTTTTTCAGAGAATTGGGTCAAAAGCTAAAATCTATTTCCAATGAAATTGTAGCCAGTAGATCTCCGAATTCCCGTGAACAATAGCATTCTTGCAGTATTGCCTAAGCCTGAAAATCATTTTACAACAAAATTTCAACTGAATCAGGCGGCCTAACCATACTTATGCCATTCGACGTAGAAATTTGTTGATTTTGAAAATGAAGCTTTTTTTTGCAGAATAATATTCCGGTAAACGCTGAAATTATCATTTCTTTTTTTTCTTTTCTTTCATTTGAGCATTTCATTTCTCCAAAGCATCTAAATCAATTTAAAGACAAAAAGACATTCTTTCAGCAAATCTCTTATCTCAATTCATTCATTTGCCCAAAACTTACGTAGATAATGGCGGATATGATGTCCGAGTGTATGGACAGTGAGTCGACATCGGCTTTCTCTCCAGCCGATCCATCGATCGATTCACTCTTTTTCTCGAAACACAATCTAAGCGTTGAGACTTATCAGGTATAAAATCAAGTTTTAAAACAAATCAATCACATTTTATTCTCTCAGATTTTCAAAAACGATGTCGACGTTCTTTTGTCCGGAAAAGCGGCACTCGCCGAGCAACCAATGTTCATTCAGGTTAGTTAGATAGATAGATAGATAAGATAGATAGATAGATAGATAGATATATATAAGATAGATAGATAGATAAGATAGATAGATAAGATGGCTTTTTATAGAATTAGAATAGAAATTTTGTAAGGTAACTCTTTAGAAAATCATTCGCACTTGTCATGAAATGTTGGCCACTTACGAGGACGAGAAGGCGTATTTGATGAGTGATGTGCTTTGCACATGGGCGATGAGACAACAAAAAGTAATTGAAGACTTTGAAAGGATTTTAAACGATATAAAAGAGCTATAGCTATAATTTGATGAAATAACGGAAAATTTCTGTTATTTGATGAATTTCTAACAATCCTTTAAGCAAAAATTGCTCCACAAATCATTTTCCAAACCAGATTAAGTCAAATTCTAGGTTTTTCAGCCTCGATTTCCCTGGGGTTGTCCTTTTGGTCAATTTTTTTATAGAAAAGTCCTTCCTTTTTAGGTTTCCATTGGCACTTTGTGGACCCAACAACTCCACTACAATCAACTTGAAACAATCCATCAGGAATTCGAGTATTTTGGTGAAGTTTTACAACACACAATCTCTGGTCTTGAATATCTCATTCAATTCTTCCCCGCACAAGGATTTGAAGACGTAAATCACTGAATTCAACCAAAAAAAAAACAAAAGCATAATTCTTAGATGCACGCAAAGTTCAAGCAAATGGCTCATTACTTTCTCTATTACTCGATAATTGTTGCCCGACAACCGCCGAGTGTCATTGTTAAATGTGGAGAAGCCGAGAATCATCGGAGGAGTCGATTCTGGTTTAATACGGAAATTCGGTAACTTAGACTGATCTCATTTGAAGTTGTGATATGAGAAATTGCTTTAATAGAAGAATTGTAGCTAGCTCGGATAAATTTCGTATTTTAGAGTCCTTGGCGGACGAGCTTTCGGCTTGGAAACGACGGGCAGCGGAATCGAGGTTCAGTGCTACTTGATCACCGATGAAACGGCGAAACAATTGCTCAACAATGCCTATTTTGAAATGTAATCTATTGATGCTAAATTGAAAATACATAATAATGATACTTCAAACCCAATCCACCATAAACTTTTCAGTTTCGAGAGCGAGGAATTCTCGATCGAGCCACCCACAGCCAATTTCCATGTGAAAGAGCACCGGGGACTCAAGGCGAAATTCGATGATATGGTGGAGAGATTTTATTGAAATTTTCAATTAACCCAAAAAAAATGATTGACTTGATTTATTGCAAAAATGCTTAGGCTTAGGTTTGTTGAAATTTCGTTCCCATTCGGTTCCAATTTGGTTCCAATTCGGTTCTCATTTGGTTCTCATTTGGTTCCCATTTGGTTCCGATTTGTTTCCGATTTGATTTCCATTCGATTCCTATTTCAATTATATTTCAGAGAATCTCGAAAAAAGTGCAACTTCGTCGAGAATCAGTGGCCACTAAGCGCTATTGTCTTTGCTATAATATTCGTCTAAAGACAAGTTGTGGAATTGATCTTGTTGGGAAAAAGGTGAATAGTTAAAGCACAAATTCTTGAATTTTGAAAATCTTTTTAAATTCTAGGTCTCATTACCGTTTGCTGTTTTGGTCGGTCCGAAGAGTGATGTCGAAGCGAAACTGTTTCTCGAGAGATCTTTTGCTGATTTGGTAAAGAGAATTTATATTAAATAAGTCTAAGATATAAAATGATTCTATAGCATTATAGCTTAAATCTTAAATTCTATGAAATTTCTAGGTACGCCAACCGCTAAGCGAAATCCCTGGCCACGTTTCAGCACTAGAAATGGCTGATCAATTGGAGATGAAATTCCAGGTGCTGATACGTATCTTATCTGTCTTACAGTAACCATTGGATATTTATTTGTCTAGTTATTTGTCTTACAGTCGCTATTGAATATTTAGATATTTTAAGAGAAATCTTATCTGATCAAGAAGTTTAGGCAATTGTCGAAACCCCACAAAAATCTACTGATGGTCCAGCGATCATTCAACCAAGAATGTTCACCTCACAAGCAAAAGAACATATCATAAAAAGACTCAAGCCTTCTCCACAAGGATACATTGCAATTGATAACTTTATGAAGGTAAGGTATTTGTATTTAAAAACAGAGGTATATTGAAAGAATGATAAACAAGTATAAGTTTTACAAGTTAGATAAATCGAGAATTCAGTACGGATCCAGATACGATGATCTATCAAGTATTGCTTAAATTAAGCAAAGCATTAACAATCTTTCAGCTTCCGGTGGCTGAAGAGTTTCAACAAAAGAAAACGAACACTACAGAAGGAGACTGGAAACTGGTCCCTTTCTTTGATTGGTTCTTCAAGCTTGCTGAGACTGTAAACAAATATTTATACCATATGTGGTTTGATGGGTTGGTTTTTGAATCACAAAAAGGCACAAATAACGTCTACAGATTGATCTATGGATTTTGTGGGAAAGAAGAGGCAGAACAACTCTTGCGAAGTGTGCCTAGAAGTGTTTTGCTTGTTCGTTTTTCTGATATCGAGCAGGGGAAAGTGAAAATATCCGTGAAAAACTCGCTAGGAGGTTTGTTTGACTTGGTTTCCTTCTTCCTCCTCATCTTTCCTCTTTCATCTCCAACAAAAAGATGGCGCATAGCTCAGTGTTTAGAGCATCTGGCTGGAAAGCAAAAAGGGACGGAGGTCGAGGGTTCAATTCCCTCTCCTGTTTTTTCTCCTTTTTCTTGCTATTTCCTTCACTTCTTTATTAAAGTTCAGTTCAAAATCGCTTCAGAAATGAGACATCACTGGTATGAACATTCTGACTTGAATGCTCGTCCATTATCGAAAGAACTTCTTTCAAATCCGAAATTCTCCGATATCGAGCTCATCTATCCGGATATCGATTTAGAGGTTGAAAAATAATATCCACTAAAACTAATTCAGTTATTTAACTGACTTTTCAAGTCTCTACATACTTGTATTAGAAACCTTTTTCCTGTTCAGAGCCTAGTTTAAGATGACAATATTTTTGCCTTTAAACTGTAGCTTTTCTTGATAATTTTAAGCTAGATATGCAGTTAGTCCAAAATAGTCATCCATTTTTTTTCAGGTGGCTCTTGGTGGACGACAAAAGCCGCGAAGAAATCTCCCGAAACACCTTCAACCAAACGACATCTACTTTGACAATCAAGGCGCTGCCACATCAGCTTTTTAAACACGATAATAATCATTATCATTATCATGATCATGATCGTGTTATCATAGAGTTTATCATTGCTTCATACATTTCTTGCTACTATTTGGTTTCTTTGCTACCGCTGAATAAAAGAGAGCTAAATTCCAAGCGACTTTTACATGTAAAGTAAAAGAAGAACTTATCTATTTAATACATCACTTTCATGCTAAACTAGAGAAAAAAACGAATAAATAAGAAAATTATGTTTTATGTACAATACAATACAATACTGAGTCCTGCTAAATGGCAGAAGTCACTGTCACTGAATGACGTCACTGTCAAAAGAGTCACTGTCACTGAATGGCGTCATTGTCAAAAAAAAGTCACTGTCACTGAATGACGTCACTGTCAAAAAAAAGTCACTGTCAAAAAAGTCACTATCAAAAAAAAAAAATGAAAAAAGTCACTGAATGACGATTGCGAGGAAGTGATGGAAATGTTTCAGTTAAAAAAAACTTATTAGAGAAAACCGTTAATATGTTGCATATCTTAGTAACTATTAAGTTAGCAAGAAAGTCTGTAGATTTTTTGTCTCTGATTTCTGTAATTCTTTAAGCATCAATCGCTAGATTAAAAATGTTGCACTTCACGCCATTTCTATTGATTGCCAAAGTAACGATTCGCTGGCGGTGAGTTTGTTTGTGCCGTGAACAAAAGAAAAAACGGCTATAGACAACAGCATTTTTTGATATAACTTTAGAAATGAAACCAAAATTATGAATCAAGGTTATTGTAAAACAACACCGATTCCGAAATGATTAAACTTCTTATAAAGCTTATCAAATCGTTTTTTTCATACTGTAAAGTCTCATTTTGTTCTTATTATTAGATTTTCAACAAGAAAATATCCAAATGTTTTTGAAATTCACTAGTTAAAGCTGAATTTGTATGATTTCGTCTTATCAACTGAATTCTTTCTATTGAGCAAGCTGTAATAAGCCTGTAACTTACAGTAATCATACCAATCAAACGTTTTTCTAAAAAAACCAAATTTTTATTTTGAATGGGACAAGATTTGAAAGCCATTTAATATAAGCAGGTTATGAGCAATAGAGAGTGCTACTGCATGGACGGTTTTGACAAGTGTAGATGAAATCCGCGTATTGATAGCCACCATAGCTGAAAAATGAAAAGATTTCTTTTCAACTTATCAACTTATCAAAAAAACACCAATTTTCTCAATTATCAACCAATTTCTCACTCACAAATAGGTTTGAAAGCCACTCGGACTGTATAGAGCGACCGGTTGACCGGGTAAAGCTGTCCCGTTCAACCATCTTGGATTTACATTCGGTTGGCATTGCTGAAAATATCTATTTAATTTTAAAAAGATTGCAAAATGTTATTTTGAAGAGCCGTAATATTTTCATTAAATGATTCAATCTTCAATCTGTTTTATTGAATCTTTAAAGCCACGTAAAATGCCAAGCTTTCAATGTAAAATCTCATTATAATTTCACAGAAACACTGCAGTAAATCTTGGCTTACTGTAGTGCAATAAAAGGAAGATATTCAGTCGATATTATATAATAAATAAAAGTATAAAAGTCTTACACTGTACGACGTTCCATCATCCCAAGTGAAGACCCCATTACCTCCCCGGGAAAGACCCGTCCATTGAGACTGCTGGCGATTTTGAAGCACTAAAATTTTGATAAGTTTAAAGAAACTGCGAACTGCAGTACAAAAATTGCTAAAAAATCTATTTTATCTAAAAAAACAAACAAGAAGTCATGAAGATCGCCTTGTCTGAATTACAAATTGTAGGTAGAGTGGCTCCGTTTTGAAGCGTGCAATAACTAAAGTTTTTCTGGTTTCTAAATGGTGCTCAGAGTTTACGATATGCAGAGAATAGAATCCTTTTCTTAACATATAAACTAACCGTTCGGCAAGGGGCCAAGCTGCCGGGATGGTCACTGGGAAGTAGCAGCCATTGTCTGGGGTGTAACACTTGGAATCCCGTGAGTACGCGTCCCAATTCGCGGCACAGAAACAATTGGCTGAACTTTGGAGATAGATAGAAATTGGGAATCAATCGATAAGTTAAACTGTAATAAAATGGTTGAGATAAAGTTGACTTACCCCGACAAAAGGTGGCAAGAAGATCGTTGACTCGAACATCCTCATTGCTGTTCGATAAAGACGAACAATTCGAGGCGAGTGAATCAAGAATGGGAACTCGAGTGCCGTGCTTTTGAACATATTCTAAATTCGTAATTCAATTTGATTACAGTGGATTCCTTGCCTTTTCTAAAACATGTCAACTTTTGAAACCATTGTAATCTTGCCAGTTATTATTCAACTTTTGATCATATTCTGCAAAGATATCAAAAGATAAAGAAGGCAAAGATTACGATAGGTGAAAGTTGACGGGTTTTAAAGAATTGAAAAAGACACTCAAACTGTGTTTATCTAATACCAATGGTGATTATGTTTCCGCCATTTCCACGGAACGTCGCTGCAGCTTGTCCAGGATCGTTGCTGGCACCGGGTCTAAAAATAGGTTTAAAATCGATTTGGCTCTAATCTAGATCTAACTATCTAATCTAAAGATCAAATTATAAGTTTTAATTGATTATCAAAAATATTGCAAACCCACTCATAGTGCGAGGCGGCAATGATGAGAACCTTCTTTCGATTCGCATAACTCCCTCCACCGTTCTTGTCGAGCTCCGCTTGAGCGACGTTGATTCCACTAAATTAAAATCTATTTCCAGTTAGTCAAAATTACAATTAACTGCTCAATATTGCTCCCATCTCGTCCCTCAAACGGAATCGTGAACACGACGTTGAGGAGATCGTTTTGATTCTTGAAAGCGGTGAGTGAATAGCGAAGAGTGGCGTTGCTTGAGTAGGTGATCACCGCGAAACGAGACATCTAACAAGTTTTTGTTTTGTCTTGAAACAGCCTTTAGTCAAATATTAGGGTGGTGCAAAAGAAACTGCCGATGGTCAGCTCTCATTTATCAGAAACGAGCGATGCTAACGGCATTATTTTTTAATGTTTTGTTCGCATATTTGTTTGCTATTTATTTCGACGTTTGAATTTTTTGGTTGCTGTTTATTTTATTTAAAAATGCTTATATTTTTTATTTAGATCATGCAAAGCAAAAATTTGAGCTAGGAGCAGCATTGCTGTTTAACTTCAAAATTGGACAGTCTGCTGCCGAATCGCATCGTTCTCTCTGTGTTGCTTTCGGAGATGGCAGTTTATCTCTCAGGCAGTGTCAGACTTGGTTTCAACGATTCCGAGAGGGCGACGAGACTTTGGAAGATTACGAGCACGGTTCGAGGCCAGAAGTCGTGAACGAAGCCAAGTTGAGGGACTTTATTCAGGCCGATCCATGCCAATCTGCTCGAGATCTTGCGAAAATATTCCATTGTGATCATGTCACCATCGAACGCCATCTTCTTTTTGAATTTACCGTCAAATCGGCAGTTTCTTTTGCACCACCCTAATAGTTTAGTCCTTTTTTAGTCAAATAGGTTTTATAGTCGTTTATAGTTTTATAGAAACAGACTTTATCGCATTCAAATAGCTCTAATAGTTACTTGCGACCTTTTTCCGAGAAAATCCTGGGTTGACGCTTTAAAGCGTGGTAAAACTACCGTACCCCTCCGATTTGCGCGAAATTTTATTATTCTTTTTGCGTATTTTTTAACTAAAAATTCAGAAAAACAAAGCTTTCGGCATAGAAAATGATAACAACCACTTAACTTAACATTAGTTGGCATTAAGTTCGTGGAGCAGATCGTCGGGAAGCAAGTGGGTCTAAAAAACTCTACAAACAAAGCTTCTGACACAGAAAATGTTGTTAAAAACGTAACTTAGCTTTATCCTCTTTGTTTCCTGCAAAAACAAACGTGACCACATCAGAAAAACGCAAAAAAAAATGAAATGAAATGAACAAAAATGAAAATATGAAATTTCGCGCAAATTACGACGGGTACGGTAGTTTTACCACTCTTTAAAGCGCCAACCAAGGATTTTCTCGGAAAAAGGTCCTGTTACCTGTCCAGCACTCTGACCGATAGTCATTTGGAGGACAGCGGTGGCGATGTAGCTGAGCAACTAAAGAAAGTTTATATTGCACTTTATTAGGCAAATAGTTTCCCATTTATGAAAAGTAATGATAATGATTTACCGATTGAAAACCTTGTTGAGTCATCGCCGAAGAGGAATCAACGACAAGAACCACGTCCAACCACAAACCCGAATAATTGCACCCACAACCGACTAGAAACTTGGGATATAGCTAAATAATATCAAAAGGCAAATCTAACAATGTTTATATTGTTTAAAACAAATGAAACAAACGATTCGCTGCAGGCGGCACAGTTGAGCCTTGCCATGGATCGGTCCAGTCGGTCGGGTCCGTCCAGTCACTTTGAGCAGTAGCTGAAATTTTTTTGAGTTTACAAGCTTAAAATAATTTCTAGAGACTTCTAGAACTCAATCTCTACATAAATATAATTTTTAGAAGACTTTAAAGTCTAATTGTGATAAAGTTTTACTTACCCAGTGCAATAAAAGCAGCGATCAAGAGCTTCATCTTGCTTAAACGTTTTTATCTAACAAAATAGAAAGAATTTGAAATTAAAAGAAGTGAAATTTTATCTTTTTGCTTTGTTTTGATGTTCTTAAGTACATTTAAAGTAAGAATTTTTTAATTTAAAGTTTAAAATCTAATTCTAATTGAAATAAGAAGAGAATATGAAGATTGAAAAAGCAAAAACAAAAACAAAAGCTTTGCTTAACAAAAATTCTGAAAACAATACGGTATTATATCGAAAATTTTTGCCTGATTGAAGTAAAGCGGAACTTTTCTTCTTCTTCTTCTCCTTATCAGCTTCCTTTTTGAAGTAACTCTTTATATGGTCGTTGACAATTTTCAGACAAAAAAAAAGTTATTTGCTCCCGATTAGCGTAACTCGTGAACGATTTTAAAGTAAAAACTCAACATTTCTCTTATCTTTATTGACAGTTTTTTGTGAAATTTCACCCAGCTTGAAGGTTTATTATTCTCCTTTTTCTTTGTCTTCCATTATGAAAACTGACGCCAATGCCGAAAAAATCTTATTGTTATGATTTCTAAGTAAACATTTCAGCAAATTTTATCACCAATTTTATCAGTTTTTAGAGTCATTGTTTATTTTACCGTAAATGTTTTTCTCATCAATTCTTAAAGTTTTTTTTTTAATTTTCCCAAAAACGTTATTGTAATAGTTTTAAAAGTCCAAAAAGGTCAGAATTGATGTTTTTTTTATTACCAATTTGCATACAGTAAATTTTCATGCATACTTTCTTGTGTCTCGCTCCTTGTTTTTATCATTTTCTATTCTTTCTCTCTCTTATTCGGTCATTTTCTCTTTCTCCTCGACAGAAGAGGCAAATTGGCGGCGGATAAAACCGAAATTGGGAGGTGGCGGGGGTATAACCGATAAGTGCCAAAAAAAACTTACAACTGAAAAGTTTTCAAAGCTAAATAGAGATCATTTTAAGCGTAGTATTTTTAATTTTAATTAAAAATATACGTTCTTTTTTTCAAATTGAAACCTTTTTTTACAACCACTTTCACTTCGGTATCAAAAAAAATTGCACAACAAAAACATAAATGAAAAATTTGAGCACATTTGGGGAAATCACAAATAATAGGAAATCACAAATCGAAGTTCGACTAACGATATAACGAATCGCTCGGGATCGACAATAAAATGTGCCTCAAATTTTCTGCGTTACTGCCCTGGACGGTCACTGATTGTGTTTCGCTCGAGCAGCTATGCACAAATTTTAGGCACGTTTTAGAATTTCAAATTCGTTGTATCGAAGTTTAATTGAAGTTCGTTATATTGAAGTTCGTTGTATCAAAGTTCGTTATATTGAAGTTCGAATGTAGTTCTCTTTCAAAAAAAAAATGAATTAATTAAGATTTAGCGAAACGACGATGCTTTCGACTGAACACTCGATGGAATTTGAATCGATTCATCTGAAAATGAAAAGAAAAGTGACTTGAAAACTAAACGCTTTTATACAATGACACATTTAAGCACTTGCGTTTCACTTAGCTAATGTTTTTTTTTCTAAAAGGTGAGCAATCTGGAAAGGTATCATAATCCGGATAAAAACTAGATAAAGGATTACGATGGGGTTTTCAATTTATCCACCTTTAAGGAAATTTTTCTAATTTCCAATTTATCCACCGATTTCTTCATTACTCATAACAAAATTGCTCTAGATAAGCCACAGAATTCGAAAAAATATTGTTTCTCTCGAGAAAACAAATCTATAGAGGACATTTGAAGGACATGGAACCTACAACTACTTGCTTAAAGCTTCATTATCCGTTAACAATTCTTACTTTTTACGTTTTTGACTCGTAATTGTACAAACATTGCACATAAAGCGTTTTTCTGTTTACCAGTTCATTGATGGGATAAGGGAAATTTTCTCTTAACCCGAAAAAAAACCGTCGAATCGTTTTTGGGTGCGTAGATGATCTGGAAATTGGATTGTGTTTTGAGTAAACTCACATTTCTTGATCTATTCCTCATAAAGTACTCATTCTCTATCGGCAAATCGCTCAACTGTTTCGGGTTTGGATGAAAGCCGGGAGGTTTTGGGCCAAAGCCTGGTGGTTCGGGTTTCGCGTCCTCGGGTCTTTTCTGCACGGGAACAGGCCCCTAAATACGGAAGATGGATTCAAAATATTTTAGTATTATCTATGTCAAGTAATCTTTCTAAATGTTAAATGGGAAATCCATAGAAGCTTTTTGCAACTGACTCTAACGGCTACTGGAGGTGCCCGTGGGATGTGTGCAACTGGTGGGGCAACTGGAGGAGCGACTGGAGGCAATGATGCTGGCTGATCATAACCTGAAAACAGTTTCAAACCCTAAAGCCAATGATTTCGTTTTTACTTTGATACGCTGGACTGGCGACCGCTTCTCCGTATCCAGTATTCGGCAATTCTTGTGGTGCTTGATTGGCGGTGTAAGAGTTGAGATATTGGGGCGACATCGAACGAGTCGGACACCGACAATAGGCACCGTCTTTTCCTAAAGCAAAGATTTAACCTTATAGCTTGGATCATATATTATTATTCGTCTCTCAAGCACACCTGGCTCTCCATCGATTCCCGGTTGACCGGGCACTCCATCATACCCAGGCGGTCCCATGTTTCCTTTTAATCCCGGAAGTCCTTGTGGTCCATCTCTACCGGGATACCCTGGTTGTCCTTGATAACCGGGTCTTCCCATAGGCCCCAATGGTCCTCGGGGTCCTGGTGGTCCCGGTTGTGAGACGAATTTGAGAGCGCTGCTACCCGACATACCCGTGCGTCCAGGGATTCCAGGTTGACCCTCGAACCCAGGATCACCAATAGCGCCTTGCATTCCGGGAATTCCTAAGATCCTTTCGTTTCTAGATAGATTCTTCAACTAACCAGGTAAACCAGGGCCACCAGGTAGTCCAGGATATCCATCTTCTCCGGGTGGTCCTTGTGGTCCGTCGGCGCCGGGTTTCCCCGGTGGACCGATTGGACAACTCTAAAACGGAATAGAAAATCTAGAAAGTAAGCTTAAAACCCAATAGAAAATCTATAGAAGATAAGAAGCAACTTACAATGCAAGGTTTGGGTGGTGCATACGGGTCAAAGGCTGGTCGGGGCATGTACGAGGGAACACCCGGCACACCTGGGGCCCCAGGAAGAGCATCGGGGCCAGGAATTCCCTATAGGATTTGTAGGTTTTAACTAACATTTTTAAAAAAAACACATACTGGAGCTCCGGTGGGGCCTGGCGGACCAGCTGGACAGTTGTTCGGCTGTTGGCACTTACAGGTGCTTGGCGGGTGAATCGATGGCGCATTGTAGGTGGAGCTCTTCACCGATTGAGCCGGATTTTGGTAAGAAGATTGATCTAAACCAAAAAAGAATTCAATTCAAAGCTCACTTAAAACTAAATTCAAATTTACCTCCATAACCCGTTTGTCTAGCTGTTCGCCGAGGAGTTGTGAAAATCTCGGCGGCGCTCAAGAGCATATTTGAATGGATTTCATCGGAAAATTTCTGCAAAAGCTATTCATTTATCTATTCAATTTCTAGATTTGATGGATAATTTATTAATTATATGTCGTAGCCGATTATGAATCAAATGATTTCGCTAGCGAAAATCATAATCGGCTAGCCGATTATGAATCATTCATAATCGGCTACGACATATATATTATTCGAAAGCTGAAAATCTTCTCTATAATTTGATTGAAAAAGTTTTGTAATTGACCAAGTTTTTTTGGAGGAAATCTGAAGAAGAATCACCTTGAATTGTAGCAAATCAATTTGACTGTTATAGTAGAATATCCGAAGATCAGCGAAAATTGAGATGATTGTAATGAGGCACGAAATAAAAGCTACACCACAAATGATGAGAGAGATTTGAAGGGGACGAATTTGGGATGGCATTTCTAGAAATGAAATGCGAAATGTGAAATAAATTTGCATGAGGATTTCTGAGAAAACGGGTAAAAACAATCACAAGAATTGATCTTTGTTAATGATGGAAAATAGAGAAATTGGTTCGGTGAAAGTGAAAATATTGGATTTTGATGTTTCTTTTGGATAAATCTGAGACTTTTAAACATTTCTTTAAAAGAAATTTGCTTTCCTTTCTATTACAGGCTTACAGGAAACTCGGCAAACTGGAGATGAGGATTCTTTTTCAATGATTGTCAATCAGTTAATCAAATTTGAAACGTTTCTTGTTAAATGAGCTGTATACATCCGATTGGGAAGTTTTCAACAGATAATTCTAGCCAAGATTAAGGGCTACAATTCTCTACATAAAATTGTATTTTCAGTCAATCAGTATTGACAATACTTTCAGCTAAAAAGTATCAACTATGAAAAGATAAATAAAATTAAAAGCCTGATGAAAAAATTAGGCTGATTAATAATGAAAATGGCTTAAACTCGAGCAATGAAAGAAAATTAAAGTAAACAAAAGAAAGCTTTATGATTTTATAGGAGATTTTTGTTGTAATAAGATCGCTTCCTTACAACAAACAGAGCAGAGAACGAAGAACGGTTTTTTGGAGAAGAAAAGAAGAAGAAAACTGTAAAAGTGAATGCAATGCATGTCCATCTCTCATGCAAGACTTTCTCCATTTTTTTTCTCGTCGTTACACTTTCTATTCGATTCAGATGAACAGCCCAGATTGAAATCGAAATGTTGATGGATTGATTCATTGGGATATTGAAATAATTGATTCTAGAATTAATTCTATGACGATAAAAAAGAAAATCAGGAAAACTAAACAAAATCTTTCGATGCAAAAGAGTTACTTAGATGTTTTCTGAAAAGAAAAATTGTTAAAATATAAAAGCTACCGTAAATACTGTAATAGTACCCCCCTCGTACAGTCGCGTAGTCGCAAAAGTTTTTTAGTATTTCATTTTTTTTCAAAGCGCCCGTACTTTCAAAAATGCGTCTTTGGTATCAAAAATAGCCCTGAATTTCGCTATTTTTGACACCTAAGCGCGCATTGTAGCATAAACCAGTGTCGAGAAAAACTCGTTCAAAGCTAGACTACACAACACTCCGCACCGTCATTATGGGGGTGGGGTACTATTACAGTATTTACGGTAACTAGTGTACCAAATGTTTTGAGTGACACAGAGAAAATTGTTCCTTAGCATCGCCAATAAAATAAGAACCAAAATAAACCATTTAAAGGTCTTTTTCTTCAAGGCTCTTCAAAGTTCATCGACTCTTTTTTTTTCACTCACATTTACCCACTTTTAAACAAAAAGAAAAACACTTTTGCCCCTGTAAATAGTTAAAATACACCCTTTTTGCCTATTTCTGTTTGACAAGAAGGCTTAAATGGCATAAGAGTGTACCAGAAAGCAAGTGTTTACATGAGCACACCAGGCGGACTAATGAGACTTCAATAGAGCTACCATAGAACAAAAGAAAACTGGAAATAAAGCTTGATTACAGTACTAAAGTCATTTAAAATAAGCCCAAATTAAACAAAAACACAAACCAAAAAAAAGCATAGTTGCACGCTTCAGCAGCGAGTTGACTCAATTGAAAAAACACAGAAAAAGAACTTCTGCATGCATGGCAAATGGAATTGAAAGGGTTTTTATCAGGAATATTTCAAAATCCAGGTGTGACTTGATCAGTTAAGTTCAAATCTAGCTCTTTAGTATTCAAATAAACCCAAACTAAGCTTGGCTAGTTTAGTCTAGAAGTAGAGAGACTGTAGCAGGTGCTGTAGCAGAGATACTATAACAGGATACTGTAAAAAGAATACTAAAGAGTTACTAAGTAAGAGTACTGCAGGAATACTGTAAGAGATTAGAAAAAGATACAAAAACGATTCTCTTCTGTTAACCGAACATAAAATAAGAGAACAATCTTTATCTACATTCTTTATATTAATCTAAAGGTAAGAAACATGGCAAATGGGATTGAAAGGGTTTTTATCAGGAAGATTTCAAAACTCAGGTATGACTTGATCAGTTAAGTTCAAAGCTAGCTCTTTAGGATTCAAATAAAACCAAACTAAGCTTGACTAGTTTAGTCTAGAAGTAGAGAGACTGTAGCAGATTACAGTACTAAAGTCATTTAAAATAAGCCCAAATTAAACAAAAACACAAACCAAAAAAAGCATAGTTGCACGCTTCAGCAGCGAGTTGCCTCAATTGAAAAAACACACAAAAAGTCTGTCTTATGCGTCTTCTGCGTCATACTGTCTAAGGAAAGCTCCCGAAAGTGCGAAAATGAAAAGCGAAATCTCGGCTCATTTGAGGGGGGAAAGGTGGAAAAAGGAAATGAGTCTGAATGGAAAATTTTCTCTATTCCAAAGCTTCAAGAGCTTTCCCCAAAGCGCAACTCATCCACCCTCAAATTACTAGGGGAAAAACCCGGGAATTTCAGATCAAGAAACACATGATCCATGCTCATTCTTGAGATTCGACAATTTTCTACTCCAAAAAAGTGTAGTCTTGTGTGAAGTATGGCAAATAACCTGGGAATCGCTTAAGGAAAAGCTTAAAGAACACGTGTTCTTGGGAGAATTGAGTAGACAAGTTAGACTTACATGGGAAATACAAAAAGATTCGTAGCTTAGACATGCTAGACTTGTATTGCTAGATTTCTATTGCTAGACTGCTTACCTAACCAGATTGAGAAAACGCTAAGGATAAGTACTACCGTAAAACCTAAAGCTAAATTAAATTGTAAAGCTTGCACTTGCATGAATCTTAGCCTTACAAATTGCAGTAAAAAAAATAGAATTATTCAAAACACACAAACAGAAATGATCAAAAAATTTAGGAGAGACAATTAAACACAGTAAGAGTTTACTATTAAAGAATTTTTTCGGAATTCGTGTAAAATTTCATCACAGAATAACAAGTTCAAAGTTTAGAAAGGCTAAAAAAAAGGCTAAAAAGTCTAAAAAAGGCTAAAAAAAACTTTCCAAGCATAGCTGAATAGAAATGTTTTTTTCCTTTGCAATCTTCAGTGAGATTTGCCTCGAATCCTCGGATATCCACTTAAATCTTTGCCTAATGGGATACTTGAAAAAAAAGCTGGCTAAGTGGAAAGAAAGGTGGTGGAGAAAATATGCAAATGAGAGGTGTCTTCAAGGAAAGATTTCTGTAAAGGGTAGTCTTTTGAAGTTTCTATTTCGAAATGTCTTTTAGACGCTTCAATCATTTCATCCGTTTTAGTGTTAGTGATGTAAGAGGATCAGGACAAAACTAAAGGTAAGAAGTATGGCAAAAGGGATTGAAAGGGTTTGTATCAGGAAGATTTTATCAGGAAGATCAGGAGATCAGAAGATTTCAAAACTCAGGTGTGACTTGATTAGTTACGTTCAAATCTAGCTCTTTAGGATTCAAATAAACCCAAACTAAGCTTGGCTAGTTTAATCTAGAAGTAGAGAGACTGTAGCAGGTGCTGTAGCAGAGATACTATAACAGGATACTGTAGAAAGAATACTAAAGAGTTACTAAGTAAGAGTACTGCAGGAATACTGTAAGAGATTAGAAAAAGATACAAAAACGATTCTCTTCTGTTAACCGAACATAAAATAAGAGAACAATCTTTATCTACATTCTTTATATTAATCTAAAGGTAAGAAACATGGCAAATGGGATTGAAAGGGTTTTTATCAGGAAGATTTCAAAACTCAGGTATGACTTGATCAGTTAAGTTCAAAGCTAGCTCTTTAGGATTCAAATAAACCCAAACTTGGCCAAGCCTTGGCTAGTTTAGTCTAGAAGTAGAGAGACTGTAGCAGGTGCTGTAGCAGAGATACTATAACAGGTTACTGTAGAAAGAATACTAAAGAGTTACTAAGTAAAGGTACTGTAGGAATACTGTAAGAGATTAGAAAAAGATATCTTTTGGTCTGTACCAGGTGAGACAAAAAGTACCTAGCTAACTACTCTCGAACTGCTAGTGGAACAGAGTGACGAAAATATGCAAATGAGAACTGGAATCTCATCCAGAAAGATTTCACTCGTAAAGGGCAATCTTTCAAGTCAGCTTTTCTTTTCAGCTTCCATTCTCGTGTCTCTCCAAATTTCTTTTATAAGCTTTAGACCATTTCACCCTCCCCCATTTTACTGTGCTTTTCTTGTTCCCTTTTCTCTTTCTCTTCTTTTTCAATCGAGATGCCAATAGCACGAGTCAGCCATATCCACTTGAGAGTTCTCCTTCTTTTCTTCCACCCTAAGCACCCCATTGAAGAATTGTGTGCAAAAAAAAAATGGGAATATGAGAGCTGAAAATATGATAACTTGTCATATCTTTGCCATAAACATTATCTCCTTTTTAGAGCAGATAAAATATGGTCACATAATTGAAATTTTATTTCATTCAGCTAAGCCATTCAGTATCGTTTGTGTTAGACTTTCAAAAATGGCTTTATCAAAGCAATTGATGCTTTTTGAAACGACAAATCTGTGCCATATCTTTTCTTTGAATTGTTTGCCTTAAAGTAAAGTTTTTCTGTTGAATCTTTCTTTCTTTCCGAATTCTTTCTTTTCTGAAAATCTTTCCGAATGTGCCGTTCGTGACCTTCGCCCGCTAGACGCAATTAACGGCGTTGGAGGGAATCTTTCAAAGAAATTGTTCAAAGGAATTGTTCAAAGACACGAATAAGTTCCCATTCGGGAAGAACTTCAAGTGTTCTTCCCGAATTCCCGGGAAGAACAATCTGTTCGATAAACTCTCAATTTGTTGTAATCGAACTTAAAAAATTGAGCACAGCTACATTCAAATGATTAAAATGATCCAAAGGATTCAAATGATCCAAATGATCCAAATGATTCAAATGATTCAAATGATTCAAATGATTCAAATGATTCAAATGATTCAAATGATTCAAATGATCAAAATGATCCAAAGGATTCAAATGATTCAAATGATCTAAAGGATTCAAATGATTCAAATGATTCAAATGATTCAAATGATTCAAATGATTCAAATGATTCAAATGATCCAAATGATTCAAATGGTTCAAATAATCCAAATGATCCAAATTATCCAAATGATTCAAATGATCTAAATGATCCAAACGATTCAAATAATCCAAAGGATCCAAATGATCCAAATGACTCAAATATTCCAAATAATTTAAATAATCCAAATGATCCAATTGATCCAAATCCAAATGATCCAAATCCAAATCCAATATACATGAAATCAAAAGCTGTGCCAGGTATCTGTTCAGTTTTATCACAATGCATACGCTGTAAAAAGACACTTCGTATCGGCTTTATTTGTGTGGCTATTTAGATTTGACGACTCATAATTCTCACCCTAAACCTTTAGGATTTGAATGCTGCAAAAGATACAAAAACGATTCTCTTCTGTTAACCGAACATAAAAGAAGAGAGCAATCTTCATCTACCCATTTCCCCATTTATGATCCCTTGTTTTCACCAAAAAAAAAATGCAATACTTTTCCCATTTCTCATCGTTTTCTCTTGTTTTTATGTGTCATGATACTCTGTTTTCTTTTTGCAAGTTGTTAAGTGATACTCTTTTTGATTTTTCTGAGTTTTCTTTTCAACTAGTAACATAAAAGTAACATAAAAGTAACATAAAAGTTTATTCAGCGTCTCAGCTTGTTCTTATGAGTTCATTTTCGAAATTGAAAACTTCTTTCAGTATTGAATGAGTAAATGAATCCTATTGATTGGTTTTTAATGTGGATTTTTTTGAGTTGTTCAAAAATTTTAGAAGTTACGATGAGTTCTGTGTCAGTAAATAGTACAGAAAACAAAAGGTAAAGTAGTTTAAAGTTTAAAGCTTAGTTTAAAGCTTAGTTTAGAGTTTAAAGCTTAGTTTAGAGTTTAAAGCTTAGTTTAAAGCTTAGTTTAGAGTTTAAAGCTTAGTTTAAAGTTTAAAGCTTAGTTTAAAGCTTAGTTTAGAGTTTAAAGCTTAGTTTAAAGCTTAGTTTAGAGTTTAAAGCTTAGTTTAAAGTTTAAAGCTTAGTTTAAAGCTCGATAAAGTTCGATGAATTCGGTGACCCGGTAACAGTCAACTTTTCAATCTTTCCATGCAATTATTTTCCCAATTCGACACTTTTTACAATCACTTTATCCATTAGTAGCCTAGAGAGCTTTTATTGTTTTTAATTTATTGTTGTTTATTGTTGTTTATTGTTGTTGTTTGGGTATTGGTACTTAAAATTATCTGAAAATCTAGCCTATCTAGCCAACATAGCATACATATTCTTTGTTTTTTTCATTTTTTAAAAACAACTTGAAAAGAACTCTGAGTTTTTTGAAAATCAGTTGCAAAGTTTTATCTATTCTGTAACTTTTTTCAAACATTCTAAAAGATCCTCCTTTTACCGAACCGTCGCTTAAACACCTTGGGTTACGGTAGCTCTTAAAGATCTTTTAGAAAACTCAAACAACTTGAAAAGAACTTGAAAAGAACTCTGAGTTTTTTGAAAATCAGTTGCAATGCTCTATCTATTCTGTAACTTCTTCAAACATTATATTTCCAATTTTCTAATCAAATCCAAATAGAAAAAATAATGAAAGAAGTGAAGAAACGTGATAAAATTCGAATAAACGAAACAGGAAATGTGAAAAAAAAGCCAAAATTTGATAATCCAACTCATGAATGGAGGAAAAGAAGATTTTTGAGGAAATGACCCGTTTCAGAAATCTTTTTTTTAAGAAAATAGCTAAAATTTCAGCAAAAAGAGATGAAAAATGGCACCATAATAGGTAAATATTTAATAATTTGTGAACAAAGCAGAAAGAGGTTCAAAAGAGCCTCGAAAGAGGCTTAAAAGAGCTTCAAAAGAGCTTCAAAAGAGCTTCGAAAGAGCTTCGAAAGAGCTCAAAACGACACCGAGATGAGTGGATGATTTAAACCGGGAGTAATAAAATAGTTTTTCGATAATAATTGCAGTAAAAAGAAAGAAGAAGCTTTGATATTAGATAGCTTTTTGATAAATTTATTTATTTATAGAGTGTCAACGGTGTTCAACGGTGTCAACGGTGTCAACGGTCAATCGTTTCATTTCGGCGGTGACACGAGTCAACGCCGCTGAGGGCATTTTTAGATAATAATTTCAGTAAAAAAGAAGAAGGAAATTTGACATTAGATAGCTTTTTGATAAATTTATAGAGTGTCAACGGTGTTGAATCGTTTCATTTCGGCGGTGACACGAGTCAACGCCGCCGAGGGCATTTCACTCAATGAGCTGTGTTGTGTCGATTGAAACTGAAAAGTTGAATTTAAATGAAATAATGGATTACGATGCGATTTATAAAAAAGGTGAATGGTAAGGTGATTTTGTTTTTTTTAAATGCATAATAATGTGAGGAATAGAAAGTTAATAATGTGAAAAAAAAATTGATTAAAAAGTCATAAATCATTTAAAAATTAGAATCGATCAAATAAATCTATGAGAAATTATCAAAAATCTTAAAGTTTAAATGTGCTTTTAAAAGAAAATAGAAAAGTGATGATGTTAAATAGAATTATTTCTCTTTAATTAATCTATTTCTCTTTAACTAATCTATTAGGTTGATGCAAAAGTCTTTTTCATTTTTTTCGTACTTCCGTTAAAAAGTAACAAATGCACCAATTGAACAACGGTTTATTGCATTCGAAAGGTCAATTATTTTTCTGCAAAATGACATTAAAACGAGTTTAAAATGTCTTATGTCTAGATTTTTTTGAGAGCCTGAAGTCGGGTAGTCAAAAAAGGCGACGGCTCGATGATGCATTTTAGACGCTTTAGCTAAGGAAACCAATCTTGATGTTAATAAATAAAAGATCGAGCACAAAAAGTTAGATATTTTTTCAGATTTTCAGAGAAATTGATTCAGCCAATTTCTTTATAGAGATTTTTATAGATTTTTATGAAAAACCCGTTTTCACTCTCGAATTTGCTTGAAAGTGAACCCAAATTGACTTAAAAAGATGGGAAATTGAACAATAAACACTTTTCATTTAGAGCAAACCATAGGTTAATTGATGACTTTGTTATTTTTCAAAAGAAGTACGAAAAAAATGAAAAAGACTTTTGCATCAACCTAATATTATTAAAATGTTAACTTTCAAAAAAAACGATCGTTATGTTAACTCGAGCTTTTTTCCAATCTATTTACTTTTGTTTTCATTATAAATCGTCTTTAATATTAAAATAATAAAGCTAGATTACAATCGTTTTCAAAAGTTAACAAATTTTTAAAAGATATTAAACAAAAAGAGCAGGTTATCGAACATTTGATGCCCTCCCTTTTCCCATTTAACAATCTAACTTTAAACCAAAATATCTTGGTGTTGAGCTGCGCTCAATTTCTATATTTTTAAGATCATTAGATGCGCTTAATCTTTCTCTATCGATTCGTATAAAAACTATTGAAATTGACTAAACTAAACACCAAGAAATTTGAGCTCAAAGTTTGTCAATGGGAAAAAGAGCGGAGCTCAATGTCTCAATGAAAAGAAGACACTCTAGTGTTTTGGGTGAACGATTAATGGGAATAGATTTTGGATAGGTTACTCTCTTAGAAATTACTAAATTTCTTTTCACACAAAACACTTACCCGTCAACAGATTTCAATCATTTATTGAGCCTAATCGAATAATAATTAATTTGTTCTGAAAATTCACTCACTCCCATATTCCTCGGTCGAGTTCTTCGTTGCCATTTCACTTCCTCGTGGAAACCCTCTTTCATCTGTTCAACAACGAAAAAAACGATTTTTGTCCAAGCTCGCTGGGTAACCTGCAACAATGTTATATCAAAAATCAGATCTTGATCTAGAGATAAGGATCTGGAGATAAAGATCTGGAGATTAAAATCTGGATTCTGTGCTAGACTGGCTTGACTTTACTGCAAGTTTAACTTCCTTTTCTTTCTTCCTTTCTCTTCTCCCTTTTATTTCTCCTTTCTTCTTTAGCAAGAAGATACCTAGCTCAGTGGTTAAAGCATCTGCCCGGAAAGCAAAAAGAGGGGCAGAGATCGAGGATTCAATCTCTCTCCGGAAAATCTTTCTTTACCATTTCTTACTTTATTGTCTGATCAGCGGAAAACGCTCACTAACGTTTGCGTTTTCCACCCAATCTAACGCAATTTTGTAAGCCCCGCCTCTTTTTGCCAATGGCTGATGGATGGACAAACGGACAGACGTCTCTTCTGCTTTATATATAGTAGATAAACCCAAGCTTTTTAAAAGTTGATCTTTCGTCATCATTGACAAGAGTTCAACAAGATTCACCCACGTGTTCTCATCATTTTTCCCCTTTTTTCGAATCCCTTAACTCACCTCAGTTCTATCCTTTTTCTCGCCCCACTCGAGTGTTCTTTCGAGCATCGCTTGAGCGAATTGGTCAAGTGAAGCGGCTCGGAAGGGACATCCATCTAAAAAGTGAACGAGTGATTGACTCATAAATCAGCTCATAGACAAATACGAGTTTGAACAATCTGGACAATGTTTTGATCGAGTTTTTCTAGTTTTTCAAGGGGTTTTAAATAGTTGAGTAGAAATAGGCTTCAATTTTTATACTTAATTTAAATCATTCTGGGAATAACCTGAAAATGTATCAGTGAAAGTTTGTACAAAATTTCTCACTTGTTACTTTGAGCATTTAACACGCAAAGCTACAAATGCTCAAGAGTAAGATAAGATGAAAATTATTGAAAACTATTGAAAGACTTTGTATTCAACTTTGTACTCAAAAAAAGAAATCACATTGTTCTTTTGTGGGAAAGACGTGCATTCTGCCCGCTTCTCTCAACTCGTGCACATCCGAATTTGGATTGTCGAGATTCGCGATCAAACTATCCATGATTTGTGTGAACATTTGCGAGTGTTTCTTCAGTCTTTCATGTCCTAAAAGGTTTTTTTCTTTCAGAAATTTCTCTGATAACTTATTCTCTTTATCTTTGTTAACTTCACTAACCAGCATTTTTCGTGCCATGCATTAAAATCTGTCGAATCTCGGGATTCTTGAAGAAAGAATTTCTAAACGGGGTTTTTGTTTTCAAAACATTGAAAATATTTACCTAAAAATGCTTATCGCTGGCTCAAGTGCTCCTTGTCCTCTGGCGGCTTGCCAAGTTTTTCGGACGAGAACAATTTGTGCTTGTGTGAGACAAAGCTGGGTGACTGGTGGGCCATTGTTAACAGCTGAAGGAATGGTAAGATAGTATTATGTAAATTGTAGATATCTAGATATCTACAACTAATATTTGACCTCATTTTGAACTACTCTAGAGTAGAACTACTCTACTCTCTACTCTTAACAGAAGAGAATCGTTTTTGTATCTCTAGATTACTCTAGAGAGATTCTAGTGTAAGGTAGACTGTAAAAAGTGTGGCAAAAGAAGAACAACCGGTTTCTAAGAGCTGTACAATTGAGTATCTTTGGATTACTTTAGACAACTCTATTAAATCTAACTTTACTTTACTTTAACTTTAACTCACGTCTTTTTAATTCAGCTACAGGTGATGGTGGTTGAACGATCGTCGCCGTTGCCATCGGACACCGAAGAATTGAGGCACCGTTGATTGGGAAAGTCGCTTCTGAAATACAAATGCGATAAGAAACTATTTAAATGATCGATGGAAATTTTGGAAATAGTGAAAGTTATGACTCTATCAGTTGGAAAAACAAGTCTGAATATTTGCTAATAACATTTATCCAAAGATCATCAGATCGGAAATTCGAATTATCAAATGAATTGGAGAAAAGTAGATAAGATTCAAGATCTAACTTCAAGAAAACCAACTCCCAACTGCTGATCTCAAGTTTTAACCTTGAATTTCAAGATGTTCAAAATGACGTAAAAGACGAATGAAGAACCCAGCTTGAAACTTGCCAAAAGGACTACTCAAACTTTGAACGGCACTCATCATTTCTCGATCAAGAAGAAGGGAAAAGATCCCGAAAAATCAGCCAGCTTTCGAGAAAACCCAGCCAAAACTCGGGTAAGCACTTGAGAATAGGCAAAAAGCATAGGTTTAATAATGAGTAACTTTGTTCAATGATATTTAAACTACCTTTTTTGGCGGTTAAATCAGAAACAATCTAATCAGAAGAATAAATCTAACCAGAAACAAGTCTTGACATTTAAATCTTTGAAACTTCAAGGCAAGTTTTCAATTTTTAAAGCTTTAGAAATGAGATGATAAGTCTAACTATAATTTGCGATTTTTTTTGCTAATTTGCTAAAGCTGTGCCTTAAAATACTTACAATAATATTAGAAGAGAACACAAGGAACAAGGAATAGTTTCAAAAACATAAAGTCCTTTAGAGAATTAAAGATTTTCATCAAAAAAAACTCGATTTATGATGACTTTAAATCTTTTTCGTGAATGTTTTCTGATCGAAAAACGCTTGCTTGCGCACTCAAAATCAAAGAAAAGAGGGGCCACGTGAGATAGAGAGAGAGAGCTGTTTCAAGCACTCTCATAGTCGATAAACAATAAAAGCAATCAACAACATTTCATTCAAATTTCGAAAAGTATAAGAAAATTTTGGCTTAAATGAAGACTTAAATAGACTAAATGAAGACTTAAATAGACTAAATGAAGACTTAAATAGACTAAATGAAGTCTAGAATTTCAAAACGTTTAAACATTTTGCTTTCTTTAAATACCTAACAGCCAATTCAGCAATGTGAATGTAAAAATTCGTCAAAACGGAAGGAAATTCCCCAAAAATTTTCCTCTAGAAAAGGAAATTTTCTCTAAAAATGGGTCTCTTGCAAGATCACAAGGCAATGGAGCATGTTTCGGAAAAAGAGCGAAAGTTTTGAGGAAAATTGGACTCCTTTTTTTTCTTCTTCTTCCTTTTCTCACTTTTCTGACTTTTTGCTCTATTTCTTGAACTCTTTTTTTACTTCTTTTTTGTGATAGAGATCCCTAATTTCTATGGTAGTTTCTCTTTGAGACGAGCCTAATTTGGATGGAACGCCTTGTTCGTTCCGAGATGAATTTCATGAAAGCAGACAAGCTTTTGAAATTCTTCTTGAGAATACAGCAAAATTCTTAAGAAGAAATACTTGGGATCTATTTTTATGAAAGTTTTGATTACAGACGTAGTAAGGCTAGCTATTTTACTATTTATGAAAGAGAAATGAGTAGTAAAAAAACTAATTAGCTAGCCAACTTTAAGCGTATTTTTTTTTTAAAAACTAATTACTTTTTCTTATATTGTGATGAAAATAGAAGTCAACTTATGAATATATTTTTGAGGAAAGGCTAGAAAGGCTAGAAAGGCTAGAAAGAAGCTTCTATGGCTAGAAAGTAGCTTCTATGGCTAGAAAGTAGCTTGGTTAGAAAGGTTAGGTTCCGAAAAATCCGAAAATGCCATCTCTGATGCATAAAAATTGACATTTATTATATCAGAAAGGATTGATTTTCGTTTTTTAAAGGATAAAGTATTGTCTTAAAACTTTCTAAAGAGTTTTGTGTTTAGAAAAAGGGTACTTTTCGGTTATACATCCACAGAAACTAAACTCGGTTAAGAAAGGAGTTGACAACTGTGATTGTGACAACTTGTGATTGTGACAACTTGTGAGGAGGTGATTATGTTCAGTGAAGTAGAGTGAGGATGTGAGTTTAGGGAGATAGAGATTGGGAAGCCAGGAGACTTTTGGTCAAAGTCTATCGGTTAAAGTCTGAAGATTGGGTACTTGTCGGTTCTACATCTACAGAGAATCCACAGACTCGACTCGGTAAAGCAAGAAGTTGACAACTTTTGAGGGGTGATTATGCTCAGTAAAGTAGAGTGCTCCCCTGAAGTGATCAGTTGATCTGTCGAACGAAAACCAATAACCGAAAAGACTTGCATGGGGATGCTTAACCGAGATGAGTCTTTGTGAATGTATAACTGACACTATAACTGATAAGTATCAGAAAAACTTGTTTTAGATCATGATTAAGCTTTGAGATCAAGATTATAATAAAGGTAAACAGCTAACTGCTTTTCCTTTCAAATAGAATAACTACACTTTTGAATTGTGCAAAATCGTGTTCTTAAATGTCTTTAGTTTGGGTGAGTTAACTCAGCCAAAAGACTCAATTGCTTGAAGATAGGAAAAAGGATTAGAAGGGAGTTGATAGAATTGTGACGTGAGTGGAGGGGAAAGGCCACGAGATAGGGAAGTTGCTTGTCCCTTCTTTAGTTCAATTCAACCCCAACATTTGAGTCGAAAGCTCTCACAGAAAAAGGCAATCTTTTTTTGCTTTTGCGAACAAGATTTCTCTAGATTTCTCTAGACTATTTTTACTCCTCCACTCACTCAGGGTAAATTAATTTTGTTTCCAAAGCTAGTAGGTTTAGAAAGTGAAAGATGGAATTGTTGATAAAATGTTGAGATCAAAAACAAGACAATGCTTGTTGTTGGCTTGTTGGATGTAAGGGAATAGGCTATCAGTTTAAAGAATTCCAATATTAAAACGTCAAGGAAGCTAATAAATGAGATTTTTACTGTAGATACTGTAGATTACTGTAGATTAGTACTGTAGATTAAGATAATTTTGTATTTCGTAAAAGCTTACGTTTCTCTAGCTGACTCCTCACACTTCTTGGTGGGCTTGGTCTTGGCGATTTCGGAGAACCGTTCTTGGAAAGCTCTCTTTTCTCTAACTTTGGCGATGGAGATAAACGAGCGTCCGACTCGAGGAGAATACCGTTTGACTGAGATCGACAAACGGATAATCTGAAATGGTTTCATATAAAAAGGTTTTAAAGAAGTCCAAAGCTTTGGAGTATTTTTGGCGGTCGCTTTTCAACTTGCAAGCTTTCAAGAGCGGTGAGCTCTTTTTTTTTCGAGTGGGTACATTTTGTGAATTTGCAGGGATTTGGGTGTGGTTGAGTGGTTTAAAGGGAAAGTGGGGAATGTGTATCTAGTCTAGAAAACCTTTGAAGATTTACCAAAACAAAGTACAGTTTTTCAATTTTTTCAGTACTATATTAGGCTGTCCAAAAAGTCTTTTCTTTTCTTTTCATATTTTCGTTGAAAAATAACGAGTTCATCAATTAACTTATGATTTACTTTAAATAAAAAGCGTTTATTCTTCAAATTCCCCATCTTTTTACATCAATTTAAGCTCACTTTCAAGAAAATTCTAGAGTGAAAACACGTGTTTTTCATAAGAACCTATAAAAACCTCTACGAAGAAATTGGCTGAATCAATTTCTCTGTAAATTTAGCTATATATCTAACTTTTTATGCTCAATCTTTTATCTATTTACACAAAGATAGATTTCCTTAGCCCAAAGTGTCTAAATTGAGATCATCGAGCCGTCGCCCTTTCTTGACTACTCGATTTCAAGCGCCCAAAAAAAATCCAGACATCCAGACATTTTAAACTCATTTTAATGTTATTTTGCAGAAGAATAATTAGGCTTTCTAATGAAATAAACCGTAGTTCAATTAGTACATTTGTTTGATTTGTTTGTTTGTTTGTTTTAAACGAAAGTACGAAAAGAAACGAAAAGACTTTCTGGATTGCTGGCCGCAATAGGGGATTGCTGGCCGCAATAGGGGATTGCTGGCCGCAATAGGGGATTGCTGGCCGCAATAGGGGATTGCTGGCCGCAATAGGGGATTGCTGGCCGCAATAGGGGATTGCTGGCCGCAATAGGGGATTGCTGGCCGCAATAGGGGATTGCTGGCCGCAATAGGGGATTGCTGGCCGCAATAGGGGATTGCTGGCCGCAATAGGGGATTGCTGGCCGCAATAGGGGATTGCTGACCGCAATAGGGGATTGCTGGATTGACTGAAAATTGTAAAGCTACAGATGTGATCTGGATAAGAAATCAAATTGTTGGCGAACTTCAATTCAAACCAGTAACCATTTTCGATCATTTTTACAATATGAAAATAATTCGCCTTTCTAATTAAACAAACAGTACACGGGCAACACGATGGCGTTTTTAGTTTTTGCCTAAATGCTCTAGATTTCTGTAAAAACATTTGAAATCTGTTCGTTCTCTAGTAAGTAAGTAACTAGTAAGTAACTAGAGTGGGGCAACGATAGTTGGCTATGAATTACAACGGTTACTCAAGCTATTTTCGACAAGTTTACAAATGAGGCTATCGCTTGATAGCACATCTAGTACATAAATCGAATTCTATGATTTTGTTACTAGCTTGAAGAACACAAAAACTCGCTCGCTTCTCGGCGTGTGCACTTCAGCCATACTGCTCGCTCTCGATCGTTGACTCCCAGCAGCCGAGTTCTCTTTCATGTCATCTAAAACGTTTTCGATTATGACAAATTTCTATTCTAAACAAATCGTTTTTCAAAAAGCCACCATTCGGATCACTCAACAATGTGCTCGTTTGTGGTGTTAACGTGAACTGTTGATCGGAGGCCGAGGAGAACGACTCACAATGTGAGATCCCACAACTGTCCACACCCAAATGATCTGAACGTTTTTTTTCTTTTATTCATTTGTACTCTATTTTTAGATTTTATATCAAAAAAAATCCCTGATTTTATCAAAAACTTTCTATTTGCTAATGGGTGGAGATGAGAAAAACTCTTAGAATCTTAAAATAAAATGTTTTCTCAAGTGCAAATCAAATATATTTTGTTGATTTATTTGAGTGACATGTTGTCTGAGCACAAAATATCCTCTTTTCAATCATTTAAGCTTTAAAAAGCTCTTTAAAAGTTTCATTTTTCAAAGGCCAAATTCTTATTGACGAACCCGGATCATAGGCTGAAGTGATTGACCGCTTCACAATCGGTTGATCTATTGTTAGCCTAGAAAAATGCTAGATAAAAACTAGATTTCTTTAACAAACCCATGTTGTTGTGCTAGCGGCTGACTTCGACTTGTCCGTACTCGCTTTGCGCTCTTTGTACCCTGGAAAATTGGAATTCGAATTGGAAAACTGGAGAAAATGATTTGATTCGATCATTGATTCGATTCGATTCGATCAACGATTCGGTTCGATTTGATCAATGATTCGATTCTATCAACGATTCGATTCGATTTGATGAACGATTCGATTCGATTCTATCAACGATTGGGTTCGATTTGATCAACAATTCGATCCGATCAACGATTTGATTCGATCAACGATTCGATTTGATCTGATCAACGATTCGATTTGATCTGATCAACGATTCGATTCGATTTGATCAACGATTCGATCCGACCAACGATTCGATTCGATCCGATCGACGATTTGATTTGATCTGATCAACGATTCGATTCGATTCAATCGAATACTTTAAGGTGCACTTTGTGCTCAAAAATTTCTCCAGAAACACATCCTTTCTAGAACAACAAATTGTTTACGGTGCACAAACTCGGGAGATCGATCCGTTTTTGAGAAGTATTTATGTAAACGATATAAGGAAGTTTGTGTTTTCATTTACACTTAATTTTCCATATTTCACCTGATTTCCCATCGTTAGGGCACAATAGAGATATCTGACTCGAAAGCAGGCCCTCTCACAGCCGTCTTTCGCCTCCGAGTAGCGTAGATACGCCTAAAATTGAAGAATTTAAGCGTAAACTCATTAGCTGATCAGGAATTTGGGATTCTATAAAAATTCTCCAATTTTATGAGATGAATTGCTCAAGAAACAACCATCAAAAGTCAGAATGAGAATAGCGTGAAAGACAAATCGAAAGTTGGACTATCCGATCAACGATTCGATTCAATTACTTTCAAATAAATTGTCCATCTCAAAAGATAAACAAAAGGTTGTACAATAAAATTGTACAATTGTACAATTCTTATTGTTTATAGGTTTTATAAACGAATTTGCCTAGTTTATTTTGCAAAAACTAGAAGCAAAAAAAAGCCGAAAATTGAAGAATTTGAATCGAACAAAAATAAGAGAAAATTCTCTAAACTGTGTGGCGGATTACCGAAAAAAAAAATGATGATTTTACAGAAAGAGAAATCGTTCAGGTAATCCTAAAGCCAAATTTCTTTTTTGCTTTCTTTTGAAAGGATTAAGGGAAATTTCTGATGAAAATGAGGGTCAGATTCGAGAAGAGAGATTCGCGCTACAAATCTCTTTTTCCTTTTTCCCCTTTTTTTTCCCTAATTTTCACCATCTTTGCCAAGAAAGACGATGGAAAATTGTCATGGGAACCAAGAAAGAAAAATCATTTCTTTTTTCCCCAAAAAATTTCCCATTTTTTTGTCATTTTGATGCGACTTCGGATCCCTAAATGAGTTCAGAAAAAAAAAAAACAAACAGGATTCTGGGCCTATTTTTTTTCCTTTTTAATTATCAATTGATCAATTGAGTAAAGTAAAAAGTTCAAAACTTTTATCTTATTTGGTAAATTTGATTTTTTTTACGAAAGTATAAAAGGGAAATGAAACGAGATTTTAAAGGGGAATAGTTTCAGCTCGAAGCTTTAAAGCTCGAAGCTGTTAGCTTTAAAGCTAACAGGGGAATAGTCTCAGCTCGAAGTTCGGAATCGACCGGAAACAGCGCATAACATAGAATCAACAATGGAATCAGCAATGGCGAACAAACCCCCCCAAAAAAAAAATTAACCGTTTCACAGACTTGAACTCTCTCAAAACTCTGACAGTTCTTATTGGAAAGGTGTTATACGCAAATTTATTGGAGATCACTGGAATTTCTAAAACGAAATAACCTCTCATTGAATTAACCGTGGGATTAACTTTGAATAAATCTCGAAAAAGGGTTGCCTGTTCTTTACCATTTTGAAACATTCTATTAAATCTGTGACCAAGCGGCGATGTCTAAGAGATTTAAGATCAAGATCAAAAATTTTGAGTCTATCTGTGTAAGTAAAGTTTGCAAATTTAGCAAAAATCTATTTTCCATAGAGCTATCTTAGTTTATCTTTGTTGCATTTTTTTTTTCTAGACGAGAGATATCAACTTGTGTATCAATGATGCAAAATAGAAAATAGAAAATACAGCACTGGACAATGAAATATCATATTTGAAATACGATCGTCACTTTCGCGCGTCTGTAACTCGCTTGTCTTTGAGTTTAAACTACTAGTGTTATGCATTTTCTGAAAGCTCTTTTCAAGGGCTACACAATGGTAATAATAATATTTAGAAATACGGCAAAGATAAGGGAGTTACAGACGCGCGAAAGGGACGATGGTTTTTCAAATATGATATTTCATTGTCCAGTAGTGTATGTATAGCAAGATATCTGTATCAAAGTTTAAATCGATAGGTCACTGTAGATCTTTCTTTTTATCTATCTATTAAACAAGAAGATGTTTTTAAAAGAAAGCTTTTAAAATAAAGTTCTTAAAAGATTTTGTAATGATACTGAAGCTTCGAAAGCGTTGAAAGGTTTTTCAGCTTTTCTAGCGATTAGCCAGCAGAGATTTATGCAAAAAATTTGTCAAGAAAAGAGGAAAATCACTTTAAAAATGAAACAAACTTAAAGTTACTAAAAAAATCTAATGAAGTACGCAAGAAATTTGTTTTTAATAAACTCGAGAACTTAAATGTTGAAAGAAGTGAATTCATTGAAGTCTTTTCTGGAAGTTTGCCTAAAAATAGATTCCTGCAAACTTTGTCAAAGCCTAAAGAATTGTCGATAAAACCTAACGGAAAAGAGAAAGTAATTAGAGGAGCTCCATTTTTGGATGATCTCGAAAGAAAAGCCCAACCACTCCATCTCACTTTAAAACCCAAAATTACCGATAATTTCAGAAATGAGAAACTTTGTGTGGAAAATGGAAAACTTTTTAGAAATTTTAAGCAAACAAAGACTTCAATCAAATGCTTGAACTTGAAAAAAGTTTTCCTCAATTTTAAACGATTCATAAAACTCAGTTCTAAACAATTCTAGCAACCAGACTCGTGTTTAACAAAATGAAAAATTGTTTACATTGAAGATCTTCCAAATTCTTTCAATGGCTTAAGCAGTGCCTTTGAATAAACTAAACAAATTCTTTTTTTAAACAATTTGGTCATAGTCAAAGTTGTGAGCCGTAAGCCAAATTTGTAAGTCAAATTTGTAAGTCAAATTTGTGAGCCAAAGTTGTGAGTCAAATTTGTGAGTCAAAGTTGTGAGTCAAAGTTGTGAGCCGTGAGCCAAATTTGTGAGCCAAATTTGTGAGCCAAAGTTGTGAACCAAAGTTGTGAGCCGTGAACCAAAGTTGTGCGATTTTATCATATCCAAACAATTCTCTTTTTTGAAACAGGCTGTGATTGAGCTGGTCATTAGAAAGAAGATCACTCAAAGTTAAAAGAAAAATAAGAAAAGAAAGAAGAAAAGAAAGACTTAAGCATTCTGACTTCAGAAGAAAAAAAAACACTTTTTCTTTTTCAAAAATGGGATTCGAGTTCATTGAATGGGTTCTCTGAACCTCATTCGACCCCCCTCCAAACGGACACACGCAATGCGCATCCAATTTTATTTTTATTTCCCTTTTCTCCTTTAGTCCTTTAGCCATCCCTCTTCCACTCGCTTTCCTCACAATTAGTTGTCTCTTTTTCTTCTCTCATTTCTTCCTTTTTCTCATTTCTGATTGTTCAAAGAGATTCCTGTTTCAAAATATCGGTGTCCGACTTGAAATTCACAAATAAAGCAGTTCAAACGTTGATTTATCTGTACAGATTTTACTTTGAAAATTGATTAACCCTGCCTTCATACCAGATTCATATTCTATTAGAGAATTAAAACCTATTGAAAGAGTAGCTAAAATATTTCAAAAATTTAATTTAAGCTTTAACGTTTTCCTTTTCCATAATTTTCCCTTGTTTTCCCCCTAAATGATCTCTTTCAGAATTCTCCTTTTTTTTGGTCTTTTTTTGGTCTTTTTTTAATTTGTCCTAGGAAAGGCTTTTTAGTGGAAATTCTCTCGAAAAGATGGATTGGTTTGGTGGAGAATTTTGAGGGAAAAGAAAAGAGCAGTAGACAAAAGGGGAATGGGGGAAATAGAGACATGATGAATATAAAATTTCAACATTTTAATGGGAATATTGAGAGACATCAACTAGGAGAGTTTGAATAAAGAAATGAAAAGCAGAAAAGATCGCATCAAAATGAAAGTCACAGCCAAGTCGATTTGTTGATCGTTTCTGCTATAAACTATGATCGATTTAGTTCAACTTATGCTTTAGGTTCGATTCTGTGCGCAAAAAATGGGAACATACCCTTTCTGGTGCAGTTAGAAGAGAAGTTAGAACAAATCTTTAGAGAAGGGAAGCCAAATCTATACCGAAAAGGAACCAAATCCGTAGAGAGAAGAAATCAATTCTGTAGAGACAAGGAACCAAATCACTATAAAAAAGGAAGCAAATCTGTAGAGAAAAGGAACTCGTTTTATGCCAAAGTTTTATTGAATAAGAAAATATTATCTGGGAAAGCTTGGGCTTGAGTATGCTTTTGAGATTGAGCATGCTTTTGAGATTGAGTATGCTTTTGAGCAAAATACTTGCAATATTCTATAGATAGATAGATAGATATTCTATAGAAAAAGCTTACCATCAAATCTGAAATAGTCATGAAGTTCAAGAAATTTGAAGATAAATCAACTCTCAATCAGTGAAACTTAACATTTTTTCGAATCATTTAAACTCTAGCAAATGAAATGAAAAAAATTGAAAAACACTTGAGGTGATTTTTTAAAAAAAAATCCTCACAATCTCTTCACTCTTCACTCAAAATCACTCACAAATAGCCGAGTTTTCCCAAATGAAATTCGTAGGCGTAAATGGGACACAGATGGTCAAGTTTTTTTTCGTGAAACAAAAGAGAAAATTGAAATTGTTTTCGACTTTTAAAAGAGTGAGAAAGTTGAATAAGACGAAAAACACTTCAATCTTTTGACTCATTGAAAAAGCAGTGAAAAAGAAGAAAGAGTCACAAAGCTCTAGCCAATTGCTATACCATTATCGTGACGATATTTACAGTAAGTTCCATTCATTCGTACAGTACTAATTATTTGTTTTATGTACAGGCACGGATTATCAGTATATGATTTGTAAAAAACATTATTTAGCTTTTGTTTTTTCGTTTTATAAACTGATAAGAGCTATTGATTTACTAGCAGAAAAAGTCACATTTACTTAAAAAAAGTAAACATTTATATTACCGTATTTTCTCTAATAGTAGTGCACTCCGGCAAGCCGAGTTGATGACTATTTTATGGTTTCGAAGTTTTCACAGAAGCTCAACACTCAAATCCCCCACAAGATCTCATCGTCAGCTACATTTTCCGACCCCACATCGATAGGTTCTGATAAGCGGTTCTCGAGATTTCGAGTAATTTAGATCAAGAATCGTCAAGATCATTAAGAAAGAGTCACAAAGCTCTAGTCAATTGCTATACCATTATCGTGACGATATTTACAGTAAGTTCCATTCATTTGTACAGTACTAATTATTTGTTTTAGTGTACAGGCACGGATTATCAGTATATGATTTGTAAAAACATTATTTAGCTTTTGTTTTTTAGTTTTATAAACAGATAATTCAAAATCTAAAATGACAACTCAAAACACTCAAAATAATAAAAAAAAAAAGTGGAACTTTTTCTAGAGCTGGCAATAACAATTTCGATTTTTGCCTAAACGGGATACTATTCATGATCAATTTCTTCAGTTTAAAGAGCTAAATTTTCAAAAAG